TTCTCATATATTTGCTCCTTTTCTTGTGGTGTTTCACTACAAGACATATAACTATAAATAATAGTTTATTAATAGTAAAAAAATGAACTAAAAATTTATATATTTTCATAAAACTTGAATTACTATCAACCTTAAAGTTTGAAATTCCATCTCAGGTAATACATCACCTTCTTGTAGAAGGAAAAAATCATCTAAAAGATGAATACGAGAAAATGATTTAGTACTTCTTATTGTTAGAAAATTAACGTCACTTTCAAAATCATTCATTCCAAGATGAAATAAAATATGCTTCCCTTCTACTGGAAGACAGACACCTATACATTGGTTCATTGGGTTAGAAGGTAATTGCTTCTTTTTTGGAAAGTATTGAAAAAAAGATAACTGAGAATCATATGAATAATAATCAATAGTTTTAATAGACTTAGAAAGAGAAAACCCAAAAACTATATTTAAGTTTGTTTGAATATAAAATGATAAACAAGACTTATTCAATAAACTCTTAAAAAATTCATCTTTATTCCATCCTTGCAAATCACTATCAAAAACAATACATTCACTCATAACTGAAAAATAAAAAGTATTTAGTTCTTATTCAAAAAATAATATTTAATCCTTATTAATTGATTGTCTTTTTTATTAATATTCTTATTTTATCGTATTATATTAATATTGCTTTACTACCAATAAATAACTAAATGTTACTTTAGTTTATATATAAAATTGATAATTGGTTTTAGAAATAAAAATGGGGTTTGTGATTAATCATAATACAAGTTGTTACTTTTAAACAATTCCTATTTTCTTTAATAATAAGAAATAATTTAAAAGAAGGTGAACAATTAAATTCGACAGAGTAAAATCTAAAATGAAAAAAAATTAAATTCTAATTGTTTAATATATTCTATTATTATTCTTCAATAAAATATTAAAAAAAAAAATAAAAAATAAAAAGAAACATAAGAATAATATTCATTAAATTTATTGTAAAGAATTTTTTGATAAACAATTGAATTGAGTGATTGGCATGGCATACAAATGTGACTGTTTAACTATTATTGTTTGAGTTATTGAGAATGTTTTAGAAAGAACATGGGTCAAACAGTCTTTACTTACAAAAGCAGTGTAAACACCTTTTTCAATAATCCAACAAGCGGAATCAGTATCAAATGAGCTAAGATCTCTAAAAGTTCGAGTAAAAGAAAGTTGTTGATTTTCATTTGGAAATAATAATTTTGTTTTACCAAATGCTTTTAATTCAATAGATGGATGTTCTAAACGGTCTTCAGGTATTGAAACGTATATTTGAATAACTTCTTTTCCTTCAAAAGTTCCAGTATTTGTTACGGTTACAGTAAAGTGAATAAGTTGATGTTCTAAATCAACAGAAACATTAAAGTTAGAATATTCAAATTGAGTATATGATAACCCATATCCAAATGGGTATGAACATTTTTGATTGAATGTTGTATAATAACGATATCCAACATAAATATCTTCTTTATATATTACTTTTGTTGGTTTAATTAGATCATCTCCTGGAAATGATTGCAAATTCGGTTGGTTTAAAGTAATTGGAAAAGTTGTTGGAAGTCTACCAGATGGATTTGTATGACCAGATAATATTGAAGCAACAGCATTACCACATTGCTCTCCGTTAATCCAACAAACAATAATTCCATCAACAAGATCTTTCCAACTTTCTATTTCAATAACACCACCAATATTTAAAACTATAATAACCTTTTTATTAACAGAATGAAATATCTCACTAACACATTTGATTGTATTAATTTCATTTGGTTGAAGAAAGAATGATTGTAATGTTCTATCATAAAATTCACCACAAATTCTTCCTATAGTAAATACTGCAATATCACATTCTTGTGAACATCTAATACCCCATCTTTTCTCAAATAATAATTCTTCGTAATCTTTAAATAAATTAAAAACTCCCATATAAGTATCTACTGATCTTTTATTTTGTTGATAAACGTGTTGAGAATAAATTCTTTCAACTGGTTTATCAATAAACATTCCTTGTGCTAATAATCCTTCTTTAATTGAAATAACTCTTGATGGATTAGATTGACCACTTCCAATACCAAATGCAAATGGTCCATATGATGCACTTCCAATGAGACAAATTTTTGATGACTCTTTTATTGGTAAACATTGATTATTTTTTAATAACACACACCCTTCTTCGGCAACTGATAGAGCTACATTTGTGTAATCAATCATTTGTTTTATTGGTTTAATAGAGTTTGTAAATTCAATTATTCTATCAACAGATTCATCAATTTCTTTCATTAATTTATCATTTCCTTTTTTGATTTCTTCAAATAGTTCAGTATAATTACTTGGCTTTCCTGGTTCAATTAGGTTATTTCCTCCTAACACCATTCTCACAGTATCTTTACATGCATACCAATCAGTCATAATGATTCCGTTATAACGAAGGTCTTCTCTTAGTAACATCTTCATTTCTTCATTTTCTCCAACATATTGCCCATTTACTTTATTATATGAAGTCATTAAAGTCATTGGGTTTCCTTGAAGTGCGATTCTAAATGCTTCAACATAAATTTCTCTCAAAGCACGTTGTGATATTTCAACATTAATTTCTTCTCTTTGTGTCTCTTGATTATTGGCAACAAAATGTTTAACACAAGCCGCAACCCCATTTTTTTGTACTCCAATTATGTATGAAGCTCCCATCTCCCCAGCTAAAAGAGGATCTTCAGAATAACATTCATAATTTCTTCCTGCTAATGGATGTCTTTGAATATTAATTGCTGGTGCAAGAAGAACTCCAATAGATTTATTAACACATTCACTCCCAATAGCTTCTCCCTCTATCATGGCCATGTCCTTGTTAAATGTAGCAGCAATACATGTTGCTGATGGAAAAGAAGTAGAATTTTTAATAAATAATTTAGAACCAATTCGAAGTCCAGAAGGACCATCACAAAGATTTATCGGAGGTGAAATACCAGTAATTGGATAAGTCATTGACCCACTTGCCCAAACACATGACTTAATTTCAGTCAAAGAAGGAAAAAATTTAAAAGGATTCATTAAACAAATATATTCACCAATCATTAATCTTAATTTTTGTTCTAATGTTAAATATTCGTGAGGGAGTTTGTGAGAATTGTCTTGTGGTAATTGGTTCATTTAAAATTAAAATTCTTATTTATTACTTTTTATTCATAAAAATCATAACCTCATTCTTTCTTTTTTAAAGTTAATTTCTTTGTTATTTATCTTTTTAAAATGAATGTTAATTTATTTCCCAAATACAGATGAAAAATAAAATAAATATCTTTTTAAATTTGGACAAATAAATAAAAATTTTACCAATTTATCTTTATTCTTTTTTGATATATATAACGATATTTGTTGTAATTGTTTAATTTTCCATATTTTTTTCGAAAAGAGAAAAAAAGACAAACCCTAAATCTATATTAATTAACTAATAATAATTATAATAAAAAACTATACTTAATGAAAAGAGACAAAAAGAAGCAAAAAAAAAAAAAGAAAAAAAGAAACTTCTACAATAAATTTATAGATCAAATTAACTATATTTATAACAAATCTAA